CTGGAGGTATGTTGTGTGTCTCCCTCACCCTCCATCACTGCTGGAGGTATGTTGTGTGTCTCCCTCACCCTCCATCACTGCTGGAGGTATGTTGTGTGTGTCTCCCTCACCCTCCATCACTGCTGGAGGTATGTTGTGTGTCTCCCTCACCATCCATCACTGCTCTAGGTATGTTGTGTGTCTCCCTCACCCTCCATCACTGCTGGAGGTATGTTGTGTGTCTCCCTCACCATCCATCACTGCTGGAGGTTATGTTGTGTGTCTCCCTCACCATCCATCACTGCTGGAGGTATGTTGTGTGTGTCTCCCTCACCCTCCATCACTGCTGGAGGTATGTTGTGTGTCTCCCTCACCATCCATCACTGCTGGAGGTATGTTGTGTGTCTCCCTCACCCTCCATCACTGCTGGAGTATGTTGTGTGTCTCCCTCACCCTCCATCACTGCTGGAGGTATGTTGTGTGTCTCCCTCACCCTCCATCACTGCTGAGGTATGTTGTGTGTCTCCCTCACCATCCATCACTGCTGGAGGTATGTTGTGTGTCTCCCTCACCCTCCATCACTGCTGGAGGTATGTTGTGTGTCTCCCTCACCATCCATCACTGCTGGAGGTATGTTGTGTGTCTCCCTCACCATCCATCACTGCTGGAGGTATGTTGTGTGTCTCCCTCACCCTCCATCACTGCTGGAGGTATGTTGTGTGTCCTCCCTCACATCCATCACTGCTGGAGGTATGTTGTGTGTCTCCCTCACCATCCATCACTGCTGGAGGTATGTTGTGTGTGTCTCCCTCACCCTCCATCACTGCTGGAGGTATGTTGTGTGTGTCTCCCTCACCCTCCATCACTGCTGGAGGTATGTTGTGTGTGTCTCCCTCACCCTCCATCACTGCGGAGGTATGTTGTGTGTGTCTCCCTCACCCTCCATCACTGCTGGAGGTATGTTGTGTGTCTCCCTCACCCTCCATCACTGCTGGAGTATGTTGTGTGTGTCTCCCTCACCCTCCATCACTGCTGGAGGTATGTTGTGTGTGTCTCCCTCACCCTCCATCACTGCTGGAGGTATGTTGTGTGTGTCTCCCTCACCCTCCATCACTGCTGGAGGTATGTTGTGTTGTCTCCCTCACCCTCCATCACTGCTGGAGGTATGTTGTGTGTGTCTCCCTCACCCTCCATCACTGCTGGAGGTATGTTGTGTGTGTCTCCCTCACCCTCCATCACTGCTGGAGGTATGTTGTGTGTGTCTCCCTCACCATCCATCACTGCTGGAGGTATGTTGTGTGTCTCCCTCACCATCCATCACTGCTGGAGGTATGTTGTGTGTCTCCCTCACCATCCATCACTGCTGGAGGTATGTTGTGTGTGTCTCCCTCACCCTCCATCACTGCTGGAGGTATGTTGTGTGTGTCTCCCTCACCCTCCATCACTGCTGGAGGTATGTTGTGTGTGTCTCCCTCACCCTCCATCACTGCTGGAGGTATGTTGTGTGTGTCTCCCTCACCCTCCATCACTGCTGGAGGTATGTTGTGTGTCTCCCTCACCCTCCATCACTGCTGGAGGTATGTTGTGTGTGTCTCCTCACCCTCCATCACTGCTGGGTATGTTGTGTGTGTCTCCCTCACCCTCCATCACTGCTGGAGGTATGTTGTGTGTGTCTCCTCACCCTCCATCACTGCTGGAGGTATGTTGTGTTGTCTCCCTCACCCTCCATCACTGCTGGAGGTATGTTGTGTGTGTCTCCCTCACCCTCCATCACTGCTGGAGGTATGTTGTGTGTGTCTCCCTCACCCTCCATCACTGCTGGAGGTATGTTGTGTGTGTCTCCCTCACCATCCATCACTGCTGGAGGTATGTTGTGTGTGTCTCCCTCACCCTCCATCACTGCTGGAGGTATGTTGTGTGTGTCTCCCTCACCCTCCATCACTGCTGGAGGTATGTTGTGTGTGTCTCCCTCACCCTCCATCACTGCTGGAGGTATGTTGTGTGTCTCCCTCACCCTCCATCACTGCTGGAGGTATGTGTGTGTGTCTCCCTCACCCTCCATCACTGCTGGAGGTATGTTGTGTGTGTCTCCCTCACCCTCCATCACTGCTGGAGGTATGTTGTGTGTCTCCCTCACCCTCCATCACTGCTGGAGGTATGTTGTGTGTGTCTCCCTCACCCTCCATCACTGCTGGAGGTATGTTGTGTGTGTCTCCCTCACCCTCCATCACTGCTGGAGGTATGTTGTGTGTGTTCCTCCTCACCCTCCATCACTGCTGGAGGTATGTTGTGTGTCTCCCTCACCCTCCATCACTGCTGGAGGTATGTGTTGTGTGTCTCCCTCACCATCCATCACTGCTGGAGGTATGTTGTGTGTCTCCCTCACCCTCCATCACTGCTGGAGGTATGTTGTGTGTCTCCCTCACCCTCCATCACTGCTGGAGGTATGTTGTGTGGTCTCCCTCACCATCCATCACTGCTGGAGGTATGTTGTGTGTCTCCCTCACCCTCCATCACTGCT